CCCTGTGCTATACAGTGTAATCTTGTTTATCTATTCTACAATTTTGAAACCCCAGTCTATCCCTTCCCACCCTCTACTGAACATTTCTTCTAGAAAGGAAGAATATAAAGAAAATTCCATAAGACCAAATTTACCCTAATACCAAAAGAAATACATTATTAGAAAAGAAAAGTACAAACCAGTATCCTTCAGGAACACAGTCTTGAAAATCTTCAACAAAATATTAGCTAATTCAATCTAGCAATGTATAGTGAAGGATTTTGACCAAGTGAAGTTTATCCCAGGAATGCAGGGCTTATTCAACATTTGATAATTATTCGTTACTAAAATTCACCATATTAATTGACTAAGGATGAAAAACCACATAATCATCTCATAGGTGCATAAAGCACTAGACAAAATTCAACATCTCTTCATTATAAAAACTCTCAACAAATTAGGAGTAGAAAGGAACGCCCTTACCTTGATAGAGGGTATTGACAAAAAGTCTACAACTAGCGTCATATGTGAAGATTGAATACATTATCCTAGAACTTGGAACCATGAATATTGCTTCTCAGCACTCCTGTTTACCTCAGCAAATATAGTAAGTCAAAAAAGGAAGATCTTGAACTATGTCTGTGCATGTACTACCTGATTATAAAAAAAAATCCCTTTTGTTCTACATAAAACCCCCTAGAACTAGCAGAATATATTGTCACTGTAAAAGAAATATCAATTATATCTCTATAGTACAAGGAAAAATGAATAATTGATACAGAGTACCATTTCTAGTAGCTTTAAGAAAGTATATTTATAATCTGCTGAATGAGGAGAAAAAAATCATATAAGTCATACATCAAGAAAAAGGAGGTTTTCGTAGATCAGGAGACTCAATATTGTTAAGAAGTCTATTATCCTCACTGTAGACATTAAAAAGCTGAAAAGGCAAAGGAATTGGATAGCCAAAACAATCTTGAAGAAAGATCAGAAAATGAGGACTCACTTTACTTGATCTGAGAAATTTTCTATAAAGTTAAAGTAAATTAAGAAAGTGTGGTATTAGTGAATGTATGGACACAGAAATCAGTGCAATAGAATAGCACTTCCAGAAAAAGATACAAATGTGGCCAGTTGGTCTTTGGCAAGTTGACAGTGGATATAGAATAACAGATAAAGAATAGTTTCTTCAAGAAATCCTGCTGCAACAATTGGACATCATTTTCAAATAGTTATTTTGTGTGATAGCCCACACTTTACACACAAAAAAATTAACCCTGAGTGGATGATAGACCTAAATGTCAAACTATGAAATCTGTCAAGAAAACAGAAACTTTTTGTGATCTCCTGTTAGGCTCAGAGTTCTTAGCTATGGCATCTCAGCAAAATTAGAAACTTGCTTTATGAAAGACACTATAGAGAATTTCAATAAATATTATGCCAGGGCAGAGACAAGCTTTAAACTGATGTGTTAAGGCATTACTAGTTGTGTAATAGATAAATTGGAACTTACAATTCAGGTTTTGAGAAATGGAAAACATGGAAGTGGGTTTTAATTCCGTGGAGAAAAGCCTTTCTTTCATTCTTTGTTACCAGATTTGCTATTTTAAAATACTTGTGAACTCTGTAAATTCAGGCATTTAAAACTTTTCTCTCCCAGATGTACGTGGAACATCATAAAACCTCTACCTGTAGAATGCTCACTATGCCTGTATCCTGATGTGGCGTTAAGGTTTTATATTCACACAGGGAAAACACCCAGTGTTTTAATTTTTTTAACTGTGAAGTTTCTTATATATTTGGTAATTTTTTCCCTTTGGTAATATTTTAAAGCATGATGAGTGCTTTGTGAAAATATTTCATCTATGTACATAACGGTTTTTATTTTTACCCCTTTATGATGTGTCCTTCAGGAATGCTTCTAGTCACAACAGATACCCTGGGCCATGATTTTCATGTCTTCCAAATTTTGACTCATCCTTGGTCCTCATCACAAAGTGCTGTCCATCATCTGTATACTCTTCACAGGGGAGAAACAGAAGCCAAAGTAAGTTGTATATTTTTCAGAAAGTGTTTTCTTTGTGTAATATGACATCTAATCCAGCTGGTTATAAATAATCATATTGGAACTTAACATTAATGTTACTGAGATCATGTTGTTCTTTTAGAGTGGGTCGGATAATTAAGAAAAAGTTCTTACCTTATTTTGACCTGGTAAATACATAAGCAATTGGTGAAACACTCAAATCAGTGCATTGGATAAGGCAGAAGTTCCATTTATCCTTCTCCTTCTACCCTAATACCATTTCTTGCCTCAGAGAAAACCCTGTTATCCATTTGATACCCATCTTTCTGGACATTTTCCTAGGCATTTTGATTCTATATACTTGCATACATACACATACCCACATATACGTGTAAATACATATATATTCACCTAGACTGCAAAGTAATCGAGCTCTGTAAGGTATATGACTGTATGGATAATACTCAGTTGTACGCTGGAGCCAGCTCATAGTTACTAGTGAAAACCAGTTCTGCACGTCTGTCTCAGCTCTGCATAGTAGGGTGGAATCATCCACGGTCGGAGTGTTTACATAACGGAAATCAGCAAACAGTTCAAATCAGAGCTACTTTTTTCTTAGGGAGCCAGTTTTTAACATTTACCAGCACATCCCTGTGCACATAAGCACATAGACACACGCACATACACACACAGACATATCCATATATAATTAAATGAATACTTGAATTAAGCACCCTGATAAATGCATTATGTGCATTTAATACTCTTAATATCACGTGGTAGATACTGCAATGTTAAAAATAGCGTTAAATCCCAAATATTCTGAGAGCCTGTGGTTATGCATTTACTGGTACAATACTGTATATAGCTTATTCTGAGAGAGAGCTCATTGACCCAACACCATTTATTGACTAGTCCATTCTTTCCCCGTGGTCTAACATGCTGTTTTTCATGACTTCCCATTAAAATTTTATGATAGCAGTCTCTTAACTGTATAGAAATCCATGATTTATAATGATACTTAAAAAGGAATCATTGGGCATTATTGTAGGTTGCTTTTTCCCTAACTCATTATTCTGAGAATTGATAATTAAAGGGAAAGTATCCAGCATTTACCCTGCTTTTCCTGTATCAGTTTAGTAAGATAACTAAGTAGTTGATGAGGGAATTTTTTTTTTAAATTGACAAATCCCAGTGTAAAAAAATGTTAGAATTTAGACTCATTTTGATGATCATTTTATAATAGATACAAATATTGAATCATTATTTTACATATTTGGAACTAATGTTGTATGTCCATTATGCCTCAATTTAAAAAAAGGTAGAATTATAAGAATCACTGTGCTGCTACTCCTAATAGAACAATGGACATCGGCAGTAGAACATCTGTGTTTGGTTTTAGCTGATGAGTCTTAACGTTATCAATGTGGAACAGTCACGTATCATGTGCTTCCCAATATTATGTAAGAGGATGTATACAACATTATCTGTGAAATATTTCTGTCCAGCCCTCTAAATTAAACCTGAATCTAATTCAGCCTCTAGATATAATTAGCACTTTAAACAAAATACAGAGATAGAGGGACAAGTGAAATAGTACCGTGGGAGTACAACTAGCTGAATCTAAAATGTGGGAAATTCTTCGTTACAGAAACCAGGGTGTGTAGCAGGAGTAAAAGTAATTTTAGAGAATAATATCTAACTAGAAGGTGTGGACCTTGTTTGAATCCTGTTTCATAGAAATCAAGTATAAAAATCTATTTTTCATACAAATGGTGAGATTTGAAGATTTGGCTTAGTAAATACTATTAAGAAATTGAATGTCCTTATTTTTTTGTGATGCATATAAAAGTATTTACAGATATGTGGAATTTGCTTTAAAATGATCTAGCAGGGAGTGTTGGTCAGTTGAAACAACAAATAAATCACAGATAGGGATATGGTTATGTTGATGACAATTGTCTTAAGAGGCACACCAGCTAAATGCAATGTATGACCTTTGTTTGTAGCCTGATTTAAACAAGGTATAAAGAGTCACTTCTGAGACAGTTGGAGAAAATCGACCTTGAGCTGGGAATTATGTGAAACTAATCAGTTCATTTTGCTGCGTCTGTAACTGTGTTGTAGTTTGCTTTTGTTTTGTTTTGTTTTGTTTAAAAATTTTTTTTAAGTCCTAATCTACTGGCGTATATCCCGAAGTCATCCCGAAGTAGTTATGGGTGAAACAATATGATATCTCTAGTTTGCTTTTGAATATTCTGGCAAAGCAAAACAAAGAGATAGGTCAAGCATAATATGCAAAGTGTTAATGATTATCCAAGCTCGGTGATGTTGATATTGGTGGTGCATTATAGCAATCTCTATACTTTGTGTATATTCAGAAATTTCTCTAATAGAAAGTAAAAGTCAAACACTACCTTTCACCAGTATTACGCTGTTTTATGTATTTTAGTTGTATAGTCAGATTTATTTTTCATTTTCAAAAGCTTACCCAGCTATTGGGCATTTTCTCTTTGAAATACATTTTGGAGTAACTCTGTTGAATTATGTAAAGTTTATGTTGGAGTTTTTTTGTTTGGATTGTATTCAAATTACATTTTTATGCAGTTAGAATTCACATCATTAAATATAGAATTTTTGCATCTAGGAATTTATTACATTTTTAAATTAGTTGTTGCTGAGGTATGATGAACTATTTGTTGTTTTGCATCAAATTTGTATCTTCCTGCTTTGCTAGACTCTATTGTAAGATCCATTAGTTTTTCAGTAAAATTTTCTTAGATTTTGTTAGTAGAACATTCTTTCTGACAATTCTGATAACTTCTGACTGTTTTAAATTTTATTTTTCTTATTACATTAGCTTGGAACTCTGAAACAATGTGTAACTGTAGAAGTGATAATTGTAATCTTTTCTTCGTTAATAGTACTTTTCATTTATTTTTTTTACTTTCTTATTTTGTGCTATTGCTAGTATCTGTTTTAACCCTAATACCATACTGTTTTCATTATCTTAGCTTGGTAATATGGTTTGATATCAGGACGTATGATGCCTCCGACTTTGTTTTTCTTTGTCATGATTGTTTGATTGCTTTGGTTATTTGGGGTCTTTTGTGCTTGCTACAAATTTTAGGATTATCTGTTCTAGTTTTGTGAAAAATGCTATTTGAATTTTGATAGCAGTTGCCTTGAATCTGCATATTGCTTTGGGTAGTATTAATTCATCTAATTCATTAGCATGGAACATTTTTTCATTCATTTATGTCTTCAGTTTCGTCAATGTCTTATGGTTTTCAGTGCATAGATCTTTCACCTGTTTGGTTAACTTTTTTGACATATTTTATTATTTTTGATGCAATTATAAGTGGAATTTTTTTTCTTAATTTCTCTTTCTGATAGTTTGTTATTAGTGTATAGAAACACAACCGATTTTTGTGTTTGATTTTGTTTCCTGCAGCTTTACTGAATTGGTATATTGGTGGTAAGATTTTTTTTAGTGGCTTGTTGAGTGTTTTCTATATATAAGGTCATGTCATCTTCTAACAGAAACAGTTTTTTTCTTCCATTGCAATTTGAATGCCTTTTAATCATTTATTGTTTTTTTTTTCTTGCCTAAGTCATCTGGCTAATACTTCTGGTACTATGTTTAATAAAAAAGGCAAGAGTGGGCACCCTTGTCTTGCTCCTGATCTTAGCCAAAGCTTTCAGCTTTTTACCATTGAGTATGATGTTAGATGTGGGGTTGTCATATATGGCCTTTATTATGTTCGGGTCCATTCTCTATACCCACTTTATTGAGTTTTTATCATTAATGGATGTTGAATTTTCTCAAAAGCTTTTCTGCATGTATTGAGATAATCGTATGATTTTTATCCTTTATTTTGTTAAAGTGGTGTGAATCTCAGTCAGCAACTAGATGCAGGCTGATTGGAAGCTGAACTCTTAGGCAGCAGCTTTTAAAGCATGCAGATTACTTCTTTCAGGAGAAGACTGGGAGAAGGATATTTTCGACTGCTGCCACTATGCTGTGCCCTGGGTGGATAGTGAGTTAAGAGAAGTCATTTAAAACTATGTAAATATCCCATTCCTTATCAAACTGTGTATTACTTCTTTTATTTACATATATCATTCGATGTAATAAATTTCTATTTTATTAAGTGGGTTATATTCATCCAATAATTATTCTGATACTCAAAATATCCCAGGTTTTTGATACCTCTTTTGTATTAGCATTATTTGTCATTGAATTTTCCTTTATATCCAGCCTAGAAATAGAGATCTTGATTAAGCTTCTTGGTGTCTCTAATCTGTAGAACAGTGCCCTGCACATAGACAAATGTTTGTGGGTGCAAATGTTTGCTACTGCCAATGCCATTCCTATTTAACAGGTAGGAAAATCAAATAGACATTATTAAAATGAGTTTGTTCTATGTCACACCCTGTAATTTAGGAGACTGGAAATTTCTAAACATCAAACATCAAGATCTAAGGAAACTCAGTGACCGTAAAATTAATTTTTATAAGCTTCTACTGAAAGTGATCTTGAAGTGATGTATAAAATTTAACACTGATGATAAAATCTACATGGCATGTGATCTGTCTGTCTTTGAGTATTTTAAAGTCATGTCATTCTGGAATCTTCCAGGAACTCTGAGGGTGCTTTAATCAGGCAAAGAAAAAAATCAAGTATGTGGATCTAATTATGTTGAATTAAGTTGTTTTGTGATCTATGACTTGGAATATCCTCTGCATCTGACAGTAATTTTCCTCATAAAGTACATATGCAGTTAGGAAAATATTCCTCATTTTCATCTGTAAAGTCATATGTAGTAAAACCTTACAATATTTTTTTAAAGTATACTTCTGTGATGTCTTACTCAAGCAGACACAAGTAGTTTTTGTACTTAACATGCCAATTTTGATAAATTGTAAACAATTTTGAAACATCTGCACATCAGATAAGTATTACTTTTACTTTATCAGAGTAGTCCTGCAAAATGGTATGATCAGTATGTTTAATTCTG